GAATCAGGAAAACGCGATGATTGTACTGTAATTGGAAAGAGGAGAAACTATGGGACTGAGCGCAAGGAAAATCTTATCTTGTAAATAACGGTAAAGTGTCCGCAAGATAAGTAACGTTAGTTGATCGTACTTAATATCGATTGAGATTCTCTAAAATGTTTTTAAAACATAGCAAAAAAAATTAAAAATAAATTTACTTTATGATATAAAAAATATCTAATATAATAATCATACGGTATAAACACAAATCAATTTATAAATTACTTGTGTAATATTTTTTCGCCTCCTTAAATCCGAAACAATGCAAAGAAGGCTGGAGAACGCACTTCGTGGTTTAATGGTCTGTGCAAGAAAAAAACATCTACGGCTACAGCGATTATTGGCACATGTTTACTTCATTCCTTTCCGCAATCCGGAAAATGGATAACGTGGGAAATAAGGTTCCGAACCGACTCTTTACACCCGTGTGCTCACGTGGTTTTCCTCTCAGAAATCAATGCACCGCAATAACCGGCCGATGCACTCGACGTGCATTGAGCGACGACATTCAAAAAGCTATTACACGGAATGAAAGTAGGTTTCAAAGGGCGACGACTGCGCGGAAAGGGAGGAGCAAAGGATGACAGTAGGTGGACAAAGCTGTCGACCAGATGAACAGGAAGGGAGTGTAACATCCCGTGACATTCTCTCTCACACGCGTCGACACCGTCCAATCCCTCAGGGGCTTCGCTGGGTTATAACGTTTTCGAGTATAAGTTAGATGGTCCATGACCTCACCCACAGCTTCAAACTTTGGACGAAATGCATGAAAGTTAAGCGTCGCATTATACCGGAAATTTCCGGCGACGTATGTGACTGCGTATCCACACAATTCTCATTCTATTTGATTTCCACCATGTATACGTATTTAATAAACTTAATAGAAAATATCAACACCGAAACGCGACGTCAGCGGTTGACATTTATATAAAAGTAAAAGTGAGTGTGTTTAGAAAATTCGTTTAACTTTTGCGTAGCTAGTTGTATAAGCCATTTCCTGCTACATACTTTACCTATGTGATGTTTTTTGAAGAAAAAAATTTATTTACTTTTTTATTAAAGTTGTAAAATAAATTTAAAAGTTTGACGAAATATTTATATAACATTAATACGATAATATAAAGTAAATAAATAATATGAAAATTTGCCATCTCATTTTATAATAGATTTCAAACGATATAACTTCACACCACATAAAAGTACGAAATAATGTAACTATGACAAACGATTTAACTCATTGTACGAAGCATCAACAGTATTAGACGATCGCAAAACTAGCGAAAGGGAAGCACGTGCTACGAACAATCGCAGCTTATGATGATTGATTCAGTGCCGCGCGCGGATCAGAAGGGTCGGAACAGGAGTGTAAAAGAACCCTCTCCATCCTCTCTCTTTCGCACTTTTGGCCCCCATAAATCAAAGAACGATTACACGTGTAAATATACTGGTCCTCGCCTGAGGCACCAGCTGTGCTTTACGGAAATGCCCCTTACGTTCTGTTTACCTACGAATCGGTACGCGTGAAAAATCGCAATCGATCCGCACGTTTCGTCGCGTCTGAGAGCGGAGAAAATCAGCTCGTCGCACGCCGGCGTAGTGATCAGCCGCGAAATACCAAGGGTAAACGTATTAAGCGGCTTCTTTTCTCACATGCGTGTTACGAACGTGTGACCACTAGTATTCGTCATAAATAAATTATGAATCGAAATAGATTATAACACAATATATTCTATAAATGTAGTATATTTTAAGTAGATAAATGGATAATATATTATACGATTAATCGTTTCATGAAACATTCGATATCTACCTAACACGCTGACTGTTAATATTGCAAGCGCGCAACATAATTACATAAATTATATTATATGACCACAAGCACGTCACGTATGGAATTAGTTCGTTTTATCATTATGTCCGTCACTGCCAATCAATCTATCAATACCATAATCTCATTATCGATGATGCTAGAAAATCGAACTGTTGTATTGCGCATAGTGGCGCATATATATATTAAATCGTGAAAAACTTCGTTTAATTTCTGATACTGCGGTTTTATTTATGAACTGTAGAGAAAATTTTTGGACTAGTATCGTCGACTGATATTATCTCTATATATGCATCAGGATATTCGAAGTTTAATTTATGCGTTCATTTGTGCAAGACCGCTGAGTTGTGACCGCTGAGGCGACAGCACTCGCGAGGTCATATTTATATGGAAATTCCAACGCGTTGCTTTTGAGAATAGAATAATGCGGACACAGCCTCAAACAAACTACGAATGGACTGATGTAATTTACTCGAAAGGCGAAAGAGAGAGAGGATAATGTCGCGAAGTCTGTTCATAACACATAAATGTTATATAAATTGGTTCGCGTTAATAACTGATAAATCGATTGTGTTAGTTTTAGTAGTGATATCAATCATAAAGTATAGCTTACAGGGAATTATGTCTTTTATCTATTATTACTATATGAAAGATAAAACAAGTATAGTAATCGGAGGCGTTGCGACCGTCTTAAGCGCCCCTATGCTGGAAGTCGCTCACGACGACCCCAAACGACAAAAAAAAAAAAACGAAAAGGTTCCTAAAATTTCTGCTTTCACCGTTATGCCGCGTCACTGCAAACCAAGCGATCAATTTTTATATGTTTTTACGATTATATTTTGTTGTTGAAAATAATAAATATTATATAGATATTGATTCTTATTAATAAAAGTACTAAAAGCACGACATGCATAAGAATTCGACTTTTTTGTAATGAGTGTGTTATGGCTCATCGAAAGGGATATTAAATGGTTAGGAAGCAATTTATCTAAATAGATTGTCGTTGAAATTTTTCGATAACCGCATCGCTATTCAAACGCGTATGTGCTTTATCGCTTAACAATGTGCGCTTGTCACACACATACGAAAGTGTATACACGTATATATTTCGACTATATATTCGACTATATATTCGACTATAATTTCTCTATTGCTGTTCCCCTTTCCAAGGTGGTCGCATAGAGCGCTGCCTTATCACACGTAAGCGAGTGTATCGCGCTGATAGGATCGCTTCCGGATACATAAGTTGCCCGAACAAAAGCGAATGTTGGCGAGTACGCAAATTGTATCTCTCGACATTAAAAAATTTAAGAGGTAGTTTTTATAAGACGCTTAGCGCAGAGTTCTGAAATTTGTGTTGACCACAATTTGGAAATTTGATAGTCGACCATTTCGATGGTCGATCGTTATCAACATTATTTCAAGATTCGTGCTCGACCATCATCGATGGGACCACAAATCTTGAATTTCCGTGCTCAACCATGGAATCAATTAAGCCATGGGGCCACGGATGCATGGATAGGCTAGGAAAGATTCTGAAGAAATTAGCGTATAGCAAGACTATATTTCAAATATATTTCAAAATCAATAACCAAACAAAAATCAATAACAAAAAATGCACTCTTTTATTAAATAAATTATTTCAAATGTAAAACATAAATTTTCAATTTTTGTCCCGTTTGTGTAAAACATATTCTTTTTATTTGTAACTTATATTTACATTCGCATATGTATTTCAAAAATTTTAATATATTAAGTTATTCGGAAAATTTGTAGCAATCTTTAATGACTAAATAAAAACAATTTTTATATTTAAATCCATCTTTATTC